GAGATTGCAGGAGACCCCTGCACTCCAAGCACCTGCTCGTGGGCCTGATTGATTCTACCTGCATCCTGCTGTGCCCACGCTTCGAACAGAGCCCCCCCTCTTTCCCCTCTCCCCCCGCCTCCTCTCGCTGCGCCGGGACAGGTGCTTCCCGCGCCAAACGCGCTCAGATATGCACAGCCTCTACATTTTTTCTTTCTGCAAGGTCACATTGCTTTCCTCAGAAAATCTGGGTTTACATGCGGCACGTGCAGAGGATTGGTACAACATCTCTGTTCAAGGTGATTATCTGTCTACGAGCGTGTATTTCTCTCCCACTTGGATAACGCACCCCAAGGATACCCAATCTTAAATGGCGTCTTCAATTCTATAAACAAGTGCAGTGCGTGCCTCTGAAAGCCAGTATGTGCTGAATTCCCACCGCGGAAGCGAATCTGCCAAAGTTGTTCTTCACTTCGTCGCAGACCACATTACTTATTTCTCCGACTTCTTCGACTTGGGTCTAACATCGCAATATGGAGCTGGATCATTTCGGTCGGGCTCAGTTTTATTTTGCCTCCTTCATACTTTGTGAAGAAAACCAATGCTTCTAATTCTTTCAGTGCATCTTCCACTTCTTGCTGTGTGAGATCAGGGGGCAGCTTTTGTTGAATTTCTTTGGCCTTAAGAAGAGAGCCTGCGTTATTCAGAAGCACCTCAGAAACTTCCTGCAGTATGTTCCGATTTGCCGACAAAGAGGGCATGGGTTTTCGAGGTTCATCACTGGCGGAACCCAGTGGCCCCCGAACTTCGGGGCCTCCATCTTCCTTCTGGCTCTTTTTTTCCATTGACGCAATTTATCTTCTATTTCCATTGCCAATGTTTCAAAACAGTAGTTCTCTGCTTGTCTGTCTCCTCTTTTGCTTCAAGGTCACACTCTAATCTTCCAACGGAATCTGGGAATATGCGGCACATGGATTTCCCACCACTTGAAGAGCAGGGGTCTATAGGTTTTTGAGGTTCTTCATCTGTCCCAGCCGATGACCTCCGAACCTCAGGGCCTCCATCTTCCCTCGAGCCGTTGTCGTCCATTTTCGCTCGCCGCCGAACACATGAATGCAAAACAGGCCCCATTGGGCTCCATCGGAGCAGTTGGTCTTCAATCTCCTGCTGCATATGTTCCCGAAGTACTGATTCGTTTTCTTTTTCGAGGATCTTCATTGGCACCCTCCGGTTGCCTCCGAACCTCGGGGCCTCCATTTTCCCTCTGACAACCTCTGTCCAGCGACGGCTCTTGGTCAACCACTTGTTCGCAAATGGCAATCCTGGCAACCTGGCATCTGCTAGCGTGGGTACGGTGGATCCGTTTCTTCGTCTTTGGCTCGTCGTTTTCTCGAGGTCGCACTTCAATCCTTCACAGACTTTCGGAAAGTTGCGGCGCAAGGAAATTCCATCACCAGATTGCGACCCTGTCACGCGAGAAGAGGTCGCCAAAGGTACGGTATCGGAATGGCTGCAGGGATTGTTTTGTTTATTCTCCGTCGTCCCTCCTCCCCCCTACCCCCCCCGTCGCTGGACAATGTATGGGGCGGAAGTCGTGTGAGTGTGTTTCAGTGAAAGTCCAAATTCCGTCGGAGCTCAAATGGCTTGGGCTTCCAACGCCCATTAGGAGGAGGAGGAGGAGGAGGAGGAGGAGGAGGAGGAGGAGGAGGAGGAGGGAGAGGAGGAGCATGAGCAGGAGCAGGAGGAGGAGAGGTTCGATGAAGCAAGGGCTTCCATCGATACGTGCTGGGTAGGTTTCCACCTTCCAGGGGCCCCTAGTCAAAACTAGGATTGCGTGTAGCGGGTGGGTGAAAACGGGTACAGGAACACTGCGCAAGCTGTTATAGTGAGCCCAGGAGGAGAAGGGGCAGAGCAACAACAACGATGGTTGCATCCCCAAGACCTTGGCCGTCAGGCTGTCGTTGCCCGTGGCTAGCCCGATTATAAACAGCCCCGCATGGGATTGGCTGCCAGGGCCCGTGTATTTATTCATGTAGGTGCGGTGCAGCTGCAGTGCTCACGGTTTCCGGGATGTCCCCGCCTCAATTTGTATTGCTTCACCTCGTATCAGCTCATGTTGAGACCCAGAATGCGAGTGAACCACTTGGTTGTCACCACTTTTGAAGTTTCGTTGGCCATCTCTCATTGATTTTCAGATAGTGCCGCGTGCTCGCGCACGCGTGCGCGTAAATAGAAACATGTGCTGGTTTGTTACGATGCGTCATGTTGTCGATGCCCATAGTGTCGGTGAATCTGCTATCATCACTTCGTTTTCCGAGGTGATCTTGCCATGTCTCATGGATTGTCACATGGCGCCGCGTGTGAACGTACATGCTCGTGCGCAATGAGAAACGTGTCTTGTTGCACCCAGTTCAATGCATGTTGCGGCCCACAGTGCGCATGACACCGCCGACGTTCACACACTTTGTCTTCGAATTCTTGACGCTGTGCGTATCCCCATCAGCCCATCCTCGACCCGTCC